TCCTAATTTTGCTCGATAAAAAATGGTACGAAATATCGTGCGAATCAAGAATTCGAGCAAAATGGGTAATTCAAAATTACGGAAAAGCAAATGCCTTATTTCATTCAATCCGACTCGGAGAGAGTTTTATCTCAATGGAGTTGGTCAAATTTCTCATCACAGAAGAAAAAGTGATTTTATCTAGATATCTTTCACAACGATTGCTTTTACAGTTTGGGAAGACAGATAATGCTCTGATGGAACTAACCATCAGTAATGGCATCAATAACAATAATAGTAATGCAAATAACACGTCCAAAACTACACGAAATTATTTTAAGAGCCCATGGGCTTCAAGTATTCCATTACCTGTATTCATCTATTTGTTAAAGGAGGCCAGAGAACTATATGGCGTAGATCTTCCCTTAAAAGGAAATGATATTGAATCGTTTCATTTCTTAACTGGTGGACCGTTAGCTATAAACTTGGCACCAGAAAAATTAAAAGGAAACCTTGAAAGAATTAAGGATCTTATACTTAATAAAAAATTTGTACCTTTTCCTCCAAGACCAACAGCTTTGTTTGAAGACACAATTGAATACCAAAAAGAAATGCAAACCATAAATTATGAAAAATATCCAGCCAAAGATGGTTTTGAAAATAATGAACAATTAAACATGATTGCTAGAGCAATATTAATTTATCCAGAAATTGTGGAGCTATGGAAACAAATTGGTTACCCTGACATATGTATTGATGTTAATAATTTGGTGTTACAAGGCTCTTTGTTAATTCTATATAATCCAAATGAACATTGTATCTCTCCAACCATGGATGATTTTGTTGAATGCATACAACAATTCATAAAGATTGGATTCAAATTGACAAAATCTGTTATGGTGAATATTTTATTTTTGTATGAACAACATCTCACCAAAATTGGAGAAACACTTATAGAAGCATTCCAAAAAATAATGGACCAACCAAAAATTGAAATTGTTGGACGTTGCATTTTGGAAGCTATCAAAATCAACAGGAATTTAAAAAATCATCAAGTTTTAGATTTTCTCAAGGTTCAACTCGAAGAAAATGATTTAGAACCTGTTTGTCTTGGAGCTCTAGTTTACCATTATTTTGATGATACTACTAGGAACAAAATTGAATTTCAAAATTTTAAGTCAAGTAGCTTTTATATTCTCATCAATGACAAAATTTCCAAACTTGACAACAACACCAATTTGACAAGCAACAAAAAAATTATTGAAGATGAAGAAGAACCTATTAATTATTACTATACTTATGATTATAAATCTCATCCACATGATGCAAGAACATTGAAATTAAATAGTAATTTGTACAAATGGGTACTAAAAAATTTCAAACCTGATTCAATTATCACAAGATTATGTTTCAATGATATAATTATATCCAAGATTTGGATTGATAAAGAATTGTTACTTCATCCTGAAAGACAGATACCAGAACAAATGACCAGTTGTGAATTTGAACTGATCATATTTACTTACAAAGAATTTTGTAAGAATAATGTTCCATTTGAATTGGCACATTTGAACTTATTAAAAAAATCAAATAATTCTACAACTTTGGCACCATTCTTTGAAGGTTTCTTACCACAAATTTTTAATATTAACCAAACATTTGATTATCACAATGTCAATAATAATATCAAAGAAAAAGGATTAAAAATTGAAGAAAAAACAAAATTCTGGTTTATTGAATTGAAGGAGATTCATGATCAAATTAACACACAATTTAATGTCACCACCACACATAATCAGTTTACTACAAATTTCAAAATTTATATGAAAAAGTTTTGGGATAAAATTGTGTTAAACATTAGCAAATTTGAATCTAAAAAAAGAAAATGTGCATTTGGATAGTGGAAAAGGTGGATTGAAAGTTCAAAAAGACAGCCAGGGCAAGGAAATTAGATTGTGAATTATTTTTCTATATTATTATTATTTTTTATCATTATCATTATTATTTTCATTATGATGGCATATATTTATTTAACATCCTTATATTTATTTAACATGTACATATGATTTTTAAGATAACACACATTTATATTTATTTAACATGCATGCCCATACGATTTTTAAGTTTAGATAACACATTTATATTCATCATTTCATCATGCATTTCCCATGTTACATATTGCACAATATTAAAAGAAAATTACTGAACGCAATATAGAGTTTAAAAAAAAATTTTTTTTTGTAAGTTTAAATTTATAAATTTAATAAAGTTGCAATTAAGCATTGTTATAATAGAATCTCTTGTGTAATGTTCTTTTGAAAGTCAGATTAAAAATTTTGCCATGTTTTTTAAAGAAAATTCAATGGGAAAAATAAATAATGTAATTAAGAAATATATAAATTCATGAAATGCCTTCAATATTTAGAGTCTCTTTTAGATAAAGTGACTTATGTTTATAATGAGAGGGATATATAGAAAATAAAATCTTATATCATCAGGTGGGATCTTTTGAAAAAGAAATAACATGATATTGGGGCGTCGGATACAAGTATAATCACAAACATAAAGGTAAATCAAATAATAAGAGATTTTACTATTAATTAATTAAAGAAACGTAAACTGTTATAATTCATCATACGGATGAGATTTTTTAATTCCGTAAAATGTTTTGAGCTTGCAGAATATGCATCTTAATCAAAAACGCTTTTTAAATTTTTTTTTTTCTAGCTATTTTGATTCCAAAGTTATAAACGTTTTAAGTTTCCAAATCAATTTATTTAATTAAAGAAAATCGCTTTTCGTAAAAACTGTTCTAACTCATCATACAGACGATAATTTTTAATCCTGAGAAATTTTTTGAGCTCATAGAACACGTCTCTAGAATATAAAGGAGCCATGCTTTAAAAATATTTATTAACATTGATGTATGTTGTTTTGTCATAAATTCTAAATAACTGTCAATACATATAAATTTAAAAAAAAACATATTAAACAAAAAAATAGCGTTTGTTTTAGACAAGGTTCTTTGAAATTAAAAACACCTTCAAATTTTTTTGTGGCTATTTTGCTTCCAAAGTTATATTTATGTAGCACAAACTCTTTATTATACTTGCGAAAATAACGACGGTGACAAAAAATTGCATATCTCAGCAAATAGGTGAAAGTGGGCTCGCAGGATTGCAAAGCATAATTAGATAGGTTTAGATTCATTTGAAATAAAAAAATTTTATATTGCCAATTTTTTTAAAGCCATTTCACTTCTTTTTTTTAAACCTTCACAAAATTTTTGACTTCAAATTTTGACGTGAAATTTTTTAACAATTATTCCAACGCAAAAATGTACATAATAATTATGCTACAAAATATGTCAGATTATAGTTTGAGTTTGAAGATTTCGCATATAAAATTACATGCTTCTATATTTTCTATAACTTTGTCAATTAAAAATAAAAGAAATCCGATTATTTTTGAAAAAATGTATATAAAACCTATTTTTCCTTGATGAATGAACGTTGTCAGGCCAGTAATGTAATTAGCGTGAAACCAGGACTCAATATTCGTGTAATACGTGCTTATAGATGCTAGAGATAGATGGCAAATTAAAAAAATACAAGATTTTAGCATAATAAACATAAATGAAATATTATGTAAATTTCCGGTATGATAACTAATTAAAAAACCGGGGTGATAACTAATTGAAAAACCGGGGTGATAACTAATTGAAAAACCGGGATGTTATTGATAATATTGATAATAACCATAAGAATCTACATAGTCTATTATTCCAAGAAATAACGTATATAAAAGGTTACACGGGTAATAAATATAAATTTCCAAATTAATTGTGATTACACGCGACATAATAATGCATAAATATTTTGATTATCGGATAGAGATTATGCATCCATACCAAGTAAATATTCTAAAAGCACGTTAATTGTTGATTCATAATTTCCAATATTATCAATATTATTGTTATTGGCGCTCTCCGATAATATTCCAATAATTGTAAATGAAGGAATCAGAAGACTTCATTAATATTAAAATGAAAAAAACTTTGTTTTTATATTTCGTAATGTAAAAATTTTTTTTAATATACTTTAAACAATTTCTAGAATGATTTGATTTCCCAAAGATTAGCATTTATTGGCTTCAAAAATAAACCATTTAAAAAAGATGTATGACAAAGATGAAAAAGAATGAGTAAATTCGTTATTTAGATGTTTCTTAATATATATATATATGTATTCGGTGTCTTTCAAATCTTATTGGCCGTCGTAAACTAAAAATTAAAATTTGCAAATCGTAACTATACGTAAAAATTTTTTTCAAAATTACATCGAAGTGATAAAAATAGAAATCATTCCAGTAGTGCAAATAAGAATAATATTATGACTGTAATGATATTAATCACTTATGGGATCCTCCAGGCAATAATTTATCTTATAAGAAGAGAAGAAAACAGATGGATAGACGGAGATGTATGTAATTGTTTTTTTTTACGTTTCTTTTGATCCTTTTCTTTTTTATATATAAATGAATTCCCAAAATAAATAATCGAGAATTTTTTTTTAAATCGCAAGCCTAACTACGCCACACACAACCAAAACACATGTGATGTGAAAAAAATTTTCCTTCAAAGTTATAATCAACTAAGTAGTTTATATTTTAATATTTTAGAAAATATACTTTAATCCGATAAAATATCATCAAGAATATCATTTACATTAACAACAATCAAAGATTTATTTTTTTTTATCATCAGACGAGGTATTTATTTTATTTATTTTTATTTTAATTGTTTTTTAAAGCAAAACCAATATTAATCAGGCAATTTCTTTCATAATTTTAGACTGTAAGTAACAATGATGTTGTGTTGTTTATAAAAGACACGCCTAATGCACCACATGGTAAATTTTTAGGAATTTC